CCTGGCTGCATCCTGGGACCACGAAGCATGGGACCACACTGGTAGGGGTGTGTATGTGTGTGCACCCATGTATTGGCAGGCACAGGGACAAAGTGTGTGTGTGTTCATAGGATGAGTCCCACACGCACACCCCTCCATACACATGCACCTACGCCCCCCCTCGCACTGCCATACTCAAACCTCAGCCACCTTCTCCCCATACCCACCCACACCCCACATACCCACACATTCATCTGGCCACCATACAGCCAGGCATGGGAGCAGGGGGCAGCTCTGGCAGCTGAATGCATATAAGTCATAAACTACTGCAAGACTGTTTCAGGCTGGATATAAGGAAGAATTTCTTTACTGTCCGAGCCCCCAAAGTCTGGAACAGTCTGCCATCGCAGGTGGTTCAAGCACCTACATTGAACACCTTCAAGAGTAAATTGGATGCTTATCTTGCTGGGATCCTACGACCCCAGCTGACTTCCTGCAGCCGGAGCAGGGGACTGGACTCAATGATCTTCCAAGGTCCCTTCCAGCCCTAATGTCTATGAAATCTATGAAAGTCTATGGGGGGTTGGGGTTGGAAGGCCAGGCCTTGGGGACTTTGTGAGGGGTGTGGGTGTGAAGTGTGTGGTGGGGGGACAGGGGCAGGTGTTTGCTGGTGCTGAGGGAAGGTGTCTGGGTGCTGTGGCTGCAGCAGGGTGGGTGGGTGGAGGTGCCTGCCCCCTCTAGTGGTGGAAGGGAGCAGGGGGGCCTGCTGGGGGCATCGAGGAGCTGTGTGGCCAAGCCAATTGCACCAGTACTGGGGCTTGTGCTCACAGAGGCAGGGCAGCTGGGAAGATGCTGTTCTGGGGGGAGGGAGTGGGGCTCTGGTCAGGCTTCCTGGTGCAGTGTGGGAGCCCCAGCCTAGGGCACTGGGTGTCACAAGCATCCCCTCCTCCCTCCAGTCTGGGCCGTGGTTAGATTCACTCCGCCACCACCCACGACAAGTCTGAGCTGCTACAGCCGCTGGACTCCAGCCGGGGTGGGATGGGAGCATTTGGGAGAGAGGGGCGGGGAGGCCTATGGCTTGGGAGTAATGGGCAATGGCATGGGCAGGACACTGACATATCAGGGTTGTTCAGTGCCACAAAGACACAGCTGGACGTGCATCCTGGTGCAAGAAGGTGACAGGCAAAGCTCTAATTTTTCATAATGAAAAAAACCAAGATCAAACACCAAAACATTTTAGAATTTAGTATTTAGAATTTATTTTATTATAATGACTGAGGCACTGGTAGGCTTCCAAATTGCTTGAAAATTGTAAATATATCAATAAAATATTGTGTTAAATTGATACATATACATATATATGATACATCTATATAAAATTATTATTTTTAATTTCTGTTGGATGCCTAAGAAATTGAAATGTTAATGTTTGATCTTCTTAGAAGATACTTGCCAGTTATTCCCTTTAAAAAAAGTCCATCTAATTAGCAGGGATCCTGGCTTTCTTTTTTTAAAAAAAAAATCCCAAATTCTCTGATTAAAACTCCCAAAATTATATTTACTTTAAATCAGAGAAGGGGGGGAGGCTTAAGTTTATTTAATTTTTTTAAAACAACAAATTCTCTGATTACCCCCCCAAATATATATATATATCTATATATATATATAAAAATAAATAAATGAATCAATAAAATTTTGGGTGAGTTAAATCAGAGAATTGAATATTTTTTTAAAAATCAGAGAATTCGCAGTTTTTTTAAAAAAGAGAAAACCAGGTTCCCTGCTGGTTAGATGGATTTATAAAGGAAATAACTAGCAAGTATCTTCTAAGATCAAACATTAACATTTCCGGTTTTTAGGCATCCAACGTAATTTTCAAAAATAATTTTTATAGCAACAAGCATACACAAAGTCTTCAGAAGTGCAGCTGTTTTTTTAATTTCAAAATACAAGATTGGGTATGTTTACTTGTTGTGTTAGTACAACACAATCATGCCTAGAGTCTTCATTAAACGAAAAGATTAATATCTGATGGTTAATAAAGCAAGTCTCTCAGTGTATGACAGGGATGCAACTAAGGTGGTACATCTAAAATTAGACCAAAAAGCAGTCGAAGTTTGTATTACTTGAAAATTTACTTTTTCAGGGGAGTCGCATCCATTTATCTTAAGAGAGACTACCTTCATAATTAAGTTAGGTTTAGGTTTGTAAGCACAAGCTGGATATATAAAATGGAAGTTACAATGGTTTTTATTTTACAGGGGCTAAAATAGTCAGACTTGGTAATAGAAATGACACAGGAAAAAATCCAGTAAATGATCATTACAATTAAACTGCTTAATAGCTTACTCCTGTACTTGGAACAGGCAGTTTATTTAGGCCATAATTCACTACTTACTGATTAAGCACTAAATTTCCTGTTATATATGCCAACAACCATGAATAATTTATTCTATAATAACAGAAAGAAAATAGCATGTGCATGAAAGACAATTTATATACTACGTGTATTAAAAAAGATGTACTGAGGTTTTTTTTAAGTTCTGGAAAAGGATTCTGAAATAAGCCAAATTACAGGTTTCTAGAAAAACTTGATTAGAAGAATTGAGGCTATTTTGGACAGCCAGGCAGACATTCCATGCATATGAATTACATTTAGTAGATGCGATGGGATTTTACAAGCACTCAGCACTGGCTTGACTTTGCTACCTCTGAAGCTACAAAGCTGAAGTTAAGGGGTCTGTTAGGTTTGGGTTTTTTTTGAGGAGGAGGTATGGGGGCACATTCTGTATGTGTAGAACAAAGATTCGGAGAGCTTCAAATTGATTCAGAACTTTTTATTCATCTCCCGATTCGATTCAGATTTGGAGATTCGGCTGCCAAATCGGGCCAAATCTCTTCCAAATCGAATCAGCAGCCAAAGCTTCACGCAGCCCTAACAGCTAGTCCAGGAGTAGCCAAAGTTTTTTGGCCAGAGTGCCGAAAAACCCACAATGTCTACCCTGGAAAGCGCCACAGTGTCACAGAGCAGCTGTTTGCAGCCTCCAGGCTGCAGCCGGCCCACGGAGCCCAGCCTGCTTGCAGCAGGGCTTGCAGCCTCCCAGCTGCCTGCTGGGAGCAGCCTGAGCTCCATGGCTGACAGCAGCTGCTTAGAGCCCTGGCTGGTGGGGGTGTGCTGACCAAAATGGGCTTGCGTGCCAGGGGTTGTTGACCCAAGCTAGTCCATTCCCATAATGGAAGTGAGGAGAATGACATTTTTCAGGCCCTCAACTCAAAAGCTGAAATTCTCTTTCATTGCATACACATATAGTTGTAGAAATATTTGTAAACAGATATTTTTCCATTAAAAAAAAAGAAGTTAGTGTTCAGTTAAGGCCTAACCTCATAATGGAAGCAGCTGTTCTAGGAAATTCTCAGTGCTACCATAATGGTGGACGTACATACTGTAAGTGTACTCCATGCCACTGATAAATTGAATCGTCCCTTATGTCCATTCTACAGTGTCACTCACCTGCCCTGAAGCAATGAGGCTGCAGTCAAATGGTCTTTTCAGACCTCTTGAGTTCATATTACCATCTGGCAAACCTGCTCATTCAGTACCTGCATGGTTTAAGCACTGATTGTGGACCAGTGCTGAACAAACTGAACAGCTTTTAATTTTGGATGGGAAAAGTTGCGTCAAGTGGAAAATGACAGCGATGCACAACCCTGCTGACACAGCTGTGTGTATACCATTACATTTAATATGTAGTCCAGGAAATGGTTCTACACGTAAGACCTAAGGTTTTGAGCTGAACCGTCAGTCTCTGAGCATAACTTTTTGGTTTCATACTCAAAGCCAGCCTTTGTTTCAAACCTAGAGCCAGAAATTGGGCACCTGCAGCCTAACAGCTCCACATGGAACGTCTCTATTAAGCAACAAGGAGACTCCACACTGCTCTTTGATGGAGTGAGGATATTTGGGACTTAAAGTAAGTACTGTCAATATATGCTCAGTATATAAACAAGTAATTTATGTATTTTGATGCCCAAGAAATTGAAGTTTTACTGGCAGCTCTATAATGGAGGTCAAACTTAGGACCATGCTAGTTCTCTCTCACAGTCTTAGAAATTCAATTGTAGTAACTGTACATATATTTCATTTTATATCCACAATACAAATATATGATCTCCATAATATGTTATCTTGTAGTACTTGGTTTACCTTCTTCATCAATCCATTTCATAGTGAAGAGCTGTTCATTGTCAAATGAGCACATGTCTCGAACTTCATTACACAGTCCTTCAAATGAGATGGAAGGTTCGAAATAGGTTATCATGATGTCCCTGAGCAAGAGAGACAGAAAGAAAGAAATGAGCATTCAAATCCATTAATTATATGACTGTACACAGGGTTAGAGCTATTCAGGCCACAATTTATACTGCCAACACAAAGAGGGGATGAGAGAGAGGGTGGGGGACACGAGCAAGAGAGAGAGAAAGATAAACTAGTTGCCCCATAAAAAATAAAAGGAATCTTATCTTGGCAAATACTCTCCTACTTTCTTATTGATTTTCATCAGTGTATTGTACATCAGTTACAAATAAATGAATTAGACTTTTAATGACAGAATTTATAGATCTAACATTGTAGTTTCTTTTTGGCAAAGTGGCTAGATTAAAAGTGATTTTATTACCCAATTATTTGAAAACTGGAGAAGGTACCTATTTTTGATAACAGAAATACATAAATCCTACATTTTGTATAGAAACAAACAGAGTCATTCAAACAGCAGCCACCTGCCAGTTGGATAGGACAGCATTTTAATTGCATACACAAGTTATATCAGTACTATGATATACTGGCAGGAAATGGAGGCAAGAGGGGGTATGCTACAATGTGTCTAAAAAAGAAAAAAAAAAAAAAGATGTGGGGGAAGAGGTCACTTGACCCCAGCTGTCTTCCTGCTTAGTGTGGGGGCTGGACCCGATGATCTGCAAGGTCCCTTCCAGCCCCTAACAATCTATGAATCTATGAAAAAATGCCCAATGCATGCACGCAGCCGCAAAGCAGCATGTAGGTGGTCAGGAGCATAGCCAGGTCTGGCTGGTAGGTCTGTCGTGAAGGAAGGAGTGGGGGGCAGATTGAGGCCCCTGCAGTGAGGGAGTGGGGGTGGGGCTGGGGCAGGGGCAGGTGCTGTGCAGCTGGGACAGGGCATGAGACTGAGCTTGAGTGGCTCATCTGGGGGGGCACAGGGAGGGGATGGTTTCTGCTGCTGCGCACACCCCAGGAAGCATGAGGGGGTGTGTGCCCCCAGATCTGCACACAGGTTGAGGGCGGGCTGCCACTGCAGGCTGGGGCCGGAGTGGCACTGGGCTCTTCCCAGCGTGGGAGCTGGGCTGCATTCAGGATAGGCAGTGGCAGCACTGCAAGGGGGGCTATGGCAAATTTTGGGGTGGATGCAGCCCCTCTCCCAGCACTGCTGCCGCCCACCCCAGCAAGAGCCCCATCCCCTGTCTCTTACAGCTGCTTGTCTAAAAGGACCCAGCAGGCAGTGGTGCAGCTGGAAGGGAGCTGTGGAACCCAGAGGAAGGGGAGAGGGAGTGGAGCCAGCAAGAGTAAAGATGGGAGGAGCAACAAGGTGTGAGGTTGAACAGTAGAATGACTAGGCAGGATGAAGGGCTTCGAGGGGGTGCTAGTATGGCTCCCTCCACCCCTGAAGTCTTCTCCATGGCTGCCCCAAGAAGCCTGGCTATAGGAAACTGAGTAGATGCACCCCTGTGCATCTTTGGGGTGAGGGGTGAGACAAGTGCAATGCACCCCGTCTCATACACCAGGGCTTTTCTTCATGAAGTGCAGCCCTGAGCCCAGAAATGTATCTGGGAGGGGGAAAGGAGTGAATAGGGCATCAGGAGCAGCCCTATAGAGTCTGTGCCAGCCAGACTCATGCAGCAAGCCTGTCCCTCAGGTACTGCAGCCAGGCTCATGCAACTACAGCAAGAGCTGTAGCAGCTGCTGCCCAACCAAGTGCAGAGAGCAGGGATAGGAAAGAGGCTGCTTACACTCCTCTTCCTGCTCCCCAGCATAACTCCACATGCCCAACCCCATCCGCTGTGGCATCATCCTGGGAGGTGCAGCAAGGGACAGGGTACAGTTGGGTGTACCAGCATGTAGGATGAATCAAGGACCCCTGTGGTGCTGGCAGCAAGATGTACATTACTGTAATCACACATGGTGGCCAACCCAAGACATTTTTGTTTTGGTTTGATTTTTTTTACTGACAGCAAAAACAGCTTGGCCTGCCAACAATGCTTACTAGCGTAATAGATCATTTAACCACCACATTTTTTATATCCCAGTTCAGCGAGGAATTAGAGTTTCTAAAACTATTGCAACAGTAAAAAAACAAAACAAACAAACAAAAAAACCAAGTAAGAAATTGTCCTCAATAAGTGGTCTTGTGCTTTTGAGATGCCAAAAGCACTGAGAACAGAGCCACAATTAAGAAAGCTGAAATCCTTCCCATCCAGTGACGTAGAAGGCTCCACATCTCCTTCTCCACATATCTTCTCCTACTAGATCCCAAACACCAACAACTCTTCCCCATATTTTCACCAGGCTCAGCAAAACATCACATCCATTCACTATTCCCTAGAGTAGTTGTTCTCCAGATTTATTGTACCAGGACCCATTCGTAAAGATCAGTGACCAGTCCCAAACCAGTGCCCCTCACTCTGGACCCACTGCCCCCACCCTCAAGTGTGTGGGGCACGGGGTGGGTGTTTGGGGCACGGAGGGCCCCAAGCAGCCCCTTACAGGCTGGAACTCTGCCAGCCTGCAAGGGAGAAGCCATGGTTTCCCACATTTTTCTTATTTAAAGAAGAATCCATTTTTAAAGTTTGTTTGTGACCCTTGCATATATTCTTTTGGGTCATGATCCACACATTGAGAAACACTGCCATTGAGCTCTGTTTCTCAAAACAGGGTGCCTTGAGATCCTTCAAGATTGCCACACAATGTTATTAGCACTGTTAGGTTTACTAACATGATTCACAAGATAAACCCAGAGACTTCAAACAGAAAGCCACAGTTCTTGGAGTCCTCTGCTCTATTATTTTTCCTGTAGGCAAAAGAAGAGTGAAAACTAAGAGCTGGCATTTTCCAAGGGGCACCTCAAGTCTATCCAGGGATGCAGGAGGCCAGAGCAGTGCAGATCTGGAAGGAGAGAGGCTCGGGCAGTTCCTCCAAATGCCCACACACATCCCCTAATGCCTTCCCTTTCCCCAACACACAGTCCATGCTAGTCCCTACACCCCCTCCCAGCTCAAACTAAGGCTCCTATGGTGCCTGTCTCCACACTGTGAGACATAAAACTCTGGCATGCTAGGATTTCACTTAAAGCTAAGAGTTAATGGTATATATTGTGGGAGTGACAGATATAACCCTAAGACCAGATTTCATAGATTTCATAGATTAAGGGTCGGAAGGGACCTAGTAGATCTTCTAGCCCAACCCCCCGCCAGGGCAGGAGAACAACAAAAAACCCCAAATAAGATAAGTCAGAGCAAATTCAAGTTGTTTGAAGGTTTAAGTTCTAGAGAGAATAAGGAAAGGGGAGAACAAGCTAATATTGGAGAAGCAGCTACAAGATTCCCTGAGCAAGTGGATATTTGTGGGAAACATCTGGATGAGAAATGTTATTGTCTCGTGGTCAGTCATCAGTGGCAATAAGAAAAGCAGGATAAAAGGTTGTAGTGGAAGGAAAGATGCAAACTTTTGTGACAAAGTACTCAATACAATAGATATGTAGAAGTTTAATTGAAGTGTAGACTCTTAACTGCAATATACAGTAAACAAAGCACAGTAGTGATAAAAGGTCTACAGATTTAGTATATCCTGAGCATTTTGAGGTGATTAAGCACTTCAGTTATCTTGTTAGGCAAGGCAAACATTGATGTAGTCAAAATTAGATTTAGTACTTGCTACCTTTCAGTTCAGAAAGAAAAAAAGCAGCCCCTGCAGGATGGATATACTAAATATTTTAGTATTTGGGCAAATTTTCCTAGTTATTACTCTCAACTCTCTAAACAGAACATGTTGGGCAGCCACAAATACATTTTGGAAGGGATTTTATTATAGTTCTTACCTTATTTAAAAAATACCCAAACAAGCAAACAAAACAAAATGACCCCATTACCTTGTCCCCACTTCCTAGTAAATCATAAGTCAAACTAGGGATTTTTTGTAGAATAAAGCGGCATCTAATATGTCATGATTAAAATTGTTTTCTGGGTGGCGAGAAGCCAATTCACTCACTAATAGGAGTTTCTACAGCAAAAGTTTGTTCCATGGAAGAACTAGTCTGACTAGTTACCCATATCTTCCTATTGGAAGAGTTGCTTTGCCTAATAAAATTTTCAGTCCAGAAGGTGTTCAAATTCCATGGTGAATAGTAGAGTTTATGAAGCTTTAATTAGATAGAACAGCTGCAACAGAAATATGATACAAGGCTTTATACTAGATGAAACAAAATGCTTCATCTTTTCAAATTTTGAAAAGAAGGAATAGTTTCACATTTCAAATGTAGAAGTAAAACTATCTTTTTTTTTTTTTTTTTAAAGACATAAGAGGCTGGGGAAAGAAGGAAAAGGAAAAGTTTGATCTCTGTCAAAATATACCCATTTTTCAAAGTCATTTGCACAAGACACATTTTTCTCCACTAATTGAAATACTTCCCAATATACTTCCCTCCCATAGCTGCGTGTCAAGACATGATCCTCAGACAAGGGGTGGGGAAAGGAGCCTTCCGATTGCAGAGTTCCTGAAAAGATTTTCAAACAATACTATATACTTGCACAGTTCTTTCACTGAAGTAATTCTAAGTACCTGAGTGGAGCTAACATTTACTCCTGCTCTCATTTACAGAAATTAAGAAAGTGAAGCAAATGGAGGATGAGTTACTGCTCCCCTCTCAGAAGCACACAACCTGAATCGTATGTGGGGAAAAGGAGGGGAGAGAGAGGCAGAATCCACCTCCTTCTGCTTCAATCACTTGAGTAATGCTGCTTTCTTATCCTAAGATCAGAAAAGCAGGAAGTTGTATATTGAAATGTGTTTTAAAGGACACTTTAAAATGTGCTTCTTTTGAAGGCATGACAACTAGCTTGGTCAGCAAAGTAAAGGTTCATTCCAAAGTCAAACAAGCTTTGGGGGCTTCTGGTTTAGCAGCACTTCTGCAGCTCAGCCTAGGCCCCTTGAAAATAGCCAAGGCTAGCAACACCTCCCCCACCTACTCTTTTTAAAATAAAAAGATTTAAATGCACTAAGGCTAAATGCACTAAACTAA